TTTATATGCTTCTAAACTTTAAAACAAAACCTTTATCTACTAAGAAAGTTGCTCTGCTTTTTCGTTTTTAATTGGGTTGTGCAGCGTTACGATTGAGTACGAAGTCGATATTTTTCAAACATCTTATGCTAGTCAAAAGTATTCACAATTAACGAATAGTTTGGAAAAATATATTTTTTATTTCAACAATCAAAGTTACTAAAACCTCAAAGTTTTGTCCGGGTAGAGTTTAGTGATCCCTCTACAAACGTATATTTTAGAACGAATATTACGATAATCACATACAATCCTATTACCCCTTGTGTAACGTCGTATATAACATAAATTACGATCGTAAAGAACGGAGTGTCCTATCGTATTTACCTATTTTTTTCACTTAAGAGAGAGACTCTATCCCTCAATCGCATGAAACACAAAATAACTGTTTATTTTAAAATGAATACTTACTTTTCATTATGTTGGTCGAATTATTCTGAATAGAAAAAATATTTTTTTAAAGAAATATTTATCATAATATTTGTTGGTGAATTCAAAACAAAAAATGTATATACTAGAGAAATACAACTTGACTTAGGACTAACTCGCGATCGTGTATTACAGTTGTTAATGTTCACCACATACTTTATTGATATTTGAAAGTATGCAGTTACGTAGATTCGTACTATGAAACCATTCACAATATTGCTTCTTCGACTTAGCAATATACAAAACAGAATATTAAATCTAATCAAAAAAACTTCATTGAATGTTATAAAGAGAAAGTTTTGTTTCTATGAAAACTGTGGTTTAGTTACTCAAATACTTTAATATTATTAGGAAACCCATATTGATTTGATTACATTTAAACATAACAAGCCTAAAAATCTCGAAAACGAGGTGTACGAGAAAGTGAATCAAACACTTTTCGTATTCCTAATTTGATTTGAAATTGCAAAGCACTTTTGCCAATCAAACATGTTCTTGAAAATTTTCTAGTATCTTGAACGAGATATTTTTATATAGCTTTATAGTAAAGACTTTCGTTCTTTCTAATAAGAAAACTATCAAATCTCTATGATGAATTATTGTCATGCTACATTAAAAACAAAATAAATGCAGAACATTTGCACCATATGTTATTTTTGAAATATTTCTATTTATAAGATAATTTTATATTTAGACATCAACTGATTCTATTCCATTATCTGATATTGAACGATTATTAGAAAATTTACATTCAAAAAAATTATGTGTATATCGAGTAAGTTCGTCACTTCTTCTTTTTTTTTTCTTTGTAAAATAAATTCATTATTTATTAAATTATTATAGTTGGATCCATATTGGACATATGAATTATGTCATGGTATACATCTTCGACAATATCATGATACGAAAATTGCAGGAAAAGTAATATTGAATTTTTTCAAACATAATTTATTGAAGCATTTGTTATCTCAACTTTTAGAAATCTATTCTTCAAGAGTATTACTTAGGTTATTATCATTCTGATAATCAAGATGTTTTTACTGATTCTAATGGTCACTCAGCATTAAAAGTAATTGAAAAAAAAAAAAAGTTCTATTTTTCAAAATTAATTTTCTTTTTTTTGTTTTTGTTTAATTTATAAGATACATTATAAAACAATTGATAATAAAAAAACGCCAATGTTAGCTGTTCGATATACAGATGGTACATCTTGTGAAATTAATTCAAATCAACCACGTGAAACTATTGTTTATTATAGTGAATTATATAAAAATAAAAATTTGTAAAGAGATTTGTTTTTTGTTTTTTTATTCTGTTTAGTATGTGATGAAAGAGGTAATGATGGTATATTGAATTTTGAAGAAATATCAACATGTTATTATGAAATGACTATTGCTTCAAGATGGCTATGTAAATTACCAGCATTCAGGTAATTTGATTATTCAAAAAAATTGAAGACATAACAAATTCTATACATCATTTTTTATATCTTCAAGTGACCCGAGATACAGGTCCTAGTGTCTGCATTGGATTGAATCAAGAAATTCACTTTGATAATGAAAAGCATATAGTGTGAAGAGAAAAAGCCTTCTCTATAGTAGTACCGCACCCATATGATAACTACGCACCAGTATACTGTCAGTAGATTTTGGATCAAAGAATAGTTAACTGTTGGACCCTCGAGTGCTTTTTGTAGGTTCGATTGTATCCACAAAGTCATATTTCGTTTCTTTTTTTACGTTAGTACTTATTCTTTTTCGACCAATCGCTTTTCAAACCTTTTGTTTTCTAACAATGTTTAAAGGTTATAAGAACTTTCGTAAATAAGTATTTCAGAATGTGATTGTGATATATTATTTTATTCGTTGTAGAACATAAAAAATAAATAAAAATGAAATTTGTTTTGTTTTTAATATATCGATATATGTGATAAAGATTTCCGATTCATCTATGTCTAACATAAATCAAGTTCTTAGTCATTTGCATGTTGACCCAACTGGATTCAAAAAAAAACATTCTTTGTATAATAAAATAAGAATAGTGCTCGAGGGTTTAGTATCAAACTACGAACAGTATATCGCACAGTATACCATGACGGTCATTTTCGTTAGGTTTGAAAAATATGAGATTCAACTCTAAAATTCTTTTTTAAATAAAATCAATTTTCTGCAATTATTTCTCAAAATACCAAAAAATCGAATTTGAAATGATATATATACAAGTCTTTCTTTTAGTTAAAGTTCACGAGAAATGACCTATATTTATTTTTCATACGCCTAATGATATTGTTGAAATTCATCGGATTTAAATCATTCAAAAAATGAACTAGTTTATCTAATATTCAAATCTTTAGTCTCAATCAAATTAGAACATTCTATATCCAATGTTTTTTTTTAATGAATTTACAACCTATAAATCCTCTCTTCATTTACATTCATCAAACATTAAAAAAAAACATGTTCTTGTTTTTTTTTCTCTAATTTATAATTCATAATCATCTATCTGTTTCTTTTTTTTTCCATCATTTAGTCCATCGGAATCAAATCGTTATAGTATAAATTGTTTTCCAAAAGAGAATGCACATCAAAAACCACGAAATTTAAAAAAACTCGAAGACGAACGACAATTATCATTAAAAAAAGGTGGTCGAGCACAGTTTACGGTAAAAAAAAACATGATTGTGCAATTCACGATTGTGCAATTACAACTCATGACATATATATATATATATCTAGATGACAAGTGCCGATGGAACAACATTTATAATAGCATATCAATATGGTAATGATGAAGATCTTGATGATTTAACTGAAACAACAACACATGATTCAACAAATAAAATAACTCAACCAAGTTCAAGTGAACAAACAGAAATTAATAATAATCAAAATGTTCGACAAGAACCAATGGGAAATTTGGGTATTGATGTTGATAGAGATTTTCTTGAAAATTTTTTTTCTGGTCGAGAATGTTTACCTGGTGGAACAGGTTGGTGGAAATATGAAATATGTTATGGAAAACATGTTATTCAATTTCATGTAGGAAATTTTCTTTTTTTTTTTTTATAAAATAAAATTTTTATTTTTTATGATTTAAAGGAAGAAGGTCAACATCGTATATCAATTTTACTTGGAACATGGAATCGTGAGAAACATATTGAATGGTTAAATAAAAATCCTAAAAAGAAACCATCTGGAAATGCTAAAGATCGACAGTAGATAAAAATTTTTCTAATTTTTTTTTTTTTTTGAAAATTTTTTTTTCAAATCTTTAGATTTGTTTCATTGTATTATACTGATGGTGATATATGTGATTTAACAAAAACTCGACGTGTTGTTGAAGTTAAATTAAGGTAGATTAATTATTCAAGAGAAAGAAAAATAAAATTATTGTATTTAGATGTCAAAAAAAAATGGATAAATCTCATGCAACATCAATGTATCTGGTCGAACCAGAAACATGTTCTTATGTTTTAGGAGTATGTATATTATATGAGCCATTTCAAGCGTAACAGAACATACCTATCTTCAATTTGTTTTTGATTCTTTATTAGGATTATTTTTCCAAATCAATTATTTTAACTTAGATACATTTAAAAATGTTGACTCCGTTTTCTGACTATTAACTAAAAAGTGATTGAAAATCTTTTTAAGCATGCGAGAAAATAATCGAAAAATGTCAGAATAAACTCTACGGCAGAAATTGTGTATATAGTGAAAGAACGGGTATACATGAGACTACAAATCTGACTATTAGTTAGGTTATGAAAGTTTACAGAATTTTACTTTTGATAGTACTTTCAAATCAATTCGATAATGTCTAGAATAACAAAAGATCAGAAATGTTAAACTTTCTTCCTCGTCTTTAATTTTGGATCGATTACTAGAAGAAAAATATCTAGTAAAACAACTTATCAGTATCTTTTTGATTTGTTAGTTCATTTTCGATTAGCTGTATACTAGCTGAAAATTCCGTACTACTTATTGGCTTCTTGAGTGATGAGGAATCATGATAACCCTTCATATACCATTTAATAGAAGTTTTCAAATGCAAAGATCTGTAACGTTGGTTTTCTTTTCAGAATATCTTGGATAACTTAACATATATGTGATAGATAAAAACTAGCTCTAGCCAAAAAAAAACATTATCTCTAGATACACTTGTTTTGATTTTGCAACGTCACGTCCCTAACAAATGATTTAGTCCATATCTAAATATGAGACAAAAAAAACCTATATTTTATTTATAATTATTAGGTTGAATCATCACTTTTTTGCAATTTAATTGATTATACAGATGAGTATGGTATACCTGATAATGAAAAATTAATGAAACGTTTTCAACAACAACATCAACAACAACCACAACAACCCGAACAATAACAGTTGTTTAATGCTTGTTTGTTTTGTCGAATGTATATCGTCTATTTATTTGTTATTTTGTTCTCGGTTTTTTTTTTGCTTCATAATGTGAATTTTAAACAACTGATTGGATATTTCTAGATTGAAAAAAAAAATAAAGAAAAAAAAACAGATATGGAATCATTAAAAAATTTTGTTCGATACAGTTGGTATTCATCACCAAAAGTACGTACAAATATTATAAATGATCTTATTGAATCATTTAAAACAAATCAAGTAGATGGTAAGTCAAAAAAAAAAACATCAATTTTTGTATATTGAATTTTCTATGATCAATTGTTTTTTTCTTTTTCTTCTGCATTTAAAAAACAAAAATAGATCTACCAGATCCTGCTTTAAAAATATTGGCTCATACAATTGGTCAACTTGTTCCATTGTATACAACAACAAAATCACGTATTCTTCTTAGTACACTTTTGGATGAAGTTATAAGAAAATATAAAGAAAGAATTTTAAAATTAATTATTAATGCATTCGATGTACAATCACGTGCTATTTGCAAAATACATCCACAGTATATCAAATTATAGAGAATTTTTTTTCGTTTTGTTTTTTTTTTTGTAATTAAGTTTAATGCGTTTTTTTTGATAGTCGAAATGCACGATTTCAGGCTGATTATGGTATTATATATATGTCAAGGATTGTAGTAGCAAGTAATGGAATAACCATTGAAGAAGAAACCGATAAATTGATTGTAAGATATAATGAACAGATTTACAATTTGAAATAATTGTACTTATTGCATATTTTCTTTTCAGTTACTAATCTTTTCAAGGTTTATATCAACTTTATTGGCTAATTCATCAAATTCGTTAGGATTAAAATTAGTTGACAAACGTCTGAATTCTCTATTCAAACAGGTATATCATTCAATTAATATAAACTATTGCAGAAAATCTACTATTGAGATTTGATTAAACTATGAAGTTTTTAATATTCTATTGTCTATATGTCCTAGGTTGTCAGCAAACTTATGCTTTCAATCTGAAGCTTCATACATATAGGAAAACTTCTCTCTTCGAGATATGAGATTTTCAAGCTTAAATCCTTTACCATAGATATCTATTCACGGTAATCAAAATTCAAAACTATGATCTTGTTACACATGTAATGTCCTACAATGTACGGTTTTCTGATAAATCGGCTATCCACATGAACTCTATTTATGATAAACACAGTTCACTAATATTAAGAAGATGCATGAAGCTTCGCTTTCGAAATATCATTTGTTGAGAGTATTAAAATCAAAACTAACAAACTTATTTTCACTAAATATGTAAAGAAAGATAACAAGACAAAACATAATAAACATTTTGACCATTCTTCACTGATTATTTTAGGTTCCTACATTAACTGAACATTGGGTAATATTATTAAAATCAATATCTGAACATGATCTAGCTCATTTGGGTTTAATCAGTTCACTTTTATATCGATTTAAAACAAAAGAACCAACATTATATGAACAAGTCAAAGTAAATATCTTTCTTTCATTCAAAAACAAAAATCTAATATTTTATATTATTAGACCATTGGTATTGATTCCTATTCAAAATTAATTCTTGGTACACGAACAAAACCTTATGAAACAGCATTAAAACCTTGTAATGAAATTCTAAGTTCAATTGATATTGAAACATTTAAAACAAAAGTTTATCCAGTACTTAATCGTTCACTTCTTCGTAATCCTGAAATAATTATCGAAGGTTTATTTTTCTTATAAATTAAGAAAAAAAAAAAATCTCTTGTTATTTTAAATAGCTGTACCATCATTACTTAGTAATTTACAATTCGATTTAAGTTATACAGCAAATGAACTTGCTAAACTTTTAGCAGGTAAGTTATTTTATTAATATATTTAAATTTTATTTTTTCTAATTTTTTTTTAGCACCATTAATATCAAAAACTGAAAGCTTAGAAATATCTGCATTAGCTTCATTTCGTGCTCTTGTTAGACAAATTTCAAATGGTGAAACAACAATTAGTATAGTTCAATATTTATTCAATATTTTAAATGGTTAAGAACGCAATAAAACAAAAACATATAATGCAAAACTATATATAGGAGATAAATATTGGAATCTATTTCTCTTTTAATAGAAAGATGCTGAAGAAAAAAACTTTATTTATTACACGATAGAGAATGTTTTTTTTTTATTCTTCTTCGAATTGTATATAACTTCATTTTATTATATTCTTGAGAAATAGAATATGACATTAGTCCCATAACTTTTGCATTATATGTTATTTGTATTACATTTTCATCTTTTTTTTTTTTTTTTTTTTTTTTGTCTGTTTTTTTTTAGGAACTGAGTCATCTGTCAATAAATTATCAGTTATAAGTCAACGTGAAAATGTTTTAAGTGCAATTGGTACATTAAGTCGTTCACCAAGTACAAATATATCACAAGATGATATATTAAAATTATTTGAAAAATATTTCTATCCAATGATACAACAAGAAGTACATGAAGGTCTTATTTGTCATATGTTACAACAAATGTCTAGTTGGTGTTCAAGATTAACGAGTTCTAATCAAACATTAACAGACTTTTTTAAAGTAATAAACAGTTTGTTTTTTTTTGTAATGTGATTTTAAAATATGTTCTTTTTTTTGTCTTGAATAGAAAGGACTTGAACAAAAAACTAGTACATCAATTACACGTGCAGCTTATCTTCAATGTATGTTGGTGACATATAAAGGTGAGAAAATGATTTAAATGAATTTTTTTTTTGCAATTTGAGATTTCATTTATAGAGGATAGTTTAACTACTTTAATACCATTACATTCAACATTAATGGCATCATATGAACGTGGTCTTAATCAATCAACATTAATTAATTGTGTTCATGAAGCATTATTAGCTGCACTTATTATGATAAATATTGCTCAAATGAATTCTTCGTATGGTATGATAGAAAATATGAATTAATTCCTTTTTTTTTATTAATAATTTAATTTATTAGACAGTAAATTGACAACATTATGGGCATCATTAAATGATAGTAAACGACAAATTTTTACAACGGATAAATTTCAAAGAGAAATCAATCAAGCTGGTTAGTATATAGTAAAAATTTCTACTAGTGAACACATTCGAATTATGAATGGCAGTTATGCAGCGATTTTTGCTCGAAATACCTCTCTTTAATTTGAAAATCGCTTCACTCTAAACATTAAACCCTTTTTGAGGTTCTTCTTGTTATCATAACTTCTCTATTATAAACATACATGCAATGATTTTTTTTGACTTCTTTCTACTGTCTATCAGCTGATTCTTATGACCTATGACTGTGTACATATGCATTATTCAACTGTTCTGCATGTAAAGAATAACAAATCTCTTGTATGAACTTGATTTACAACAAAAATATTGATAAGTTTACGATATTTAGATGAAAACATAGGAATAAGAGCATAGATAACCTGATATTTAACTGAAAATATAATGTTAAAGCAAATATTCAAGAACATTTTTTTTCATTTCACAACAAACCGTACATGTCCGCTCTCTAAACTAAACACTTCTGTTTTTACTGAATATTTTTTTTAATAATCCTGATAGTGTTCACAATAGAAAATTTTACTATAAAATTTATTGATTAGATTCGTTAAATACGTATGAAGATTTTAGGTGCTCGTGTTTTCTTTCAATTTTATGAACAACTTCATGGAACATTACACATTCAAGATATGGTGTAAGTTTCTTTTTTTTTTCTTAAATGTATGAATAAAATTTTTCTTCTAGTCCATATACTCGAACATTTATTTATTTAATTTTACATTCATCATATGAAATACGTAAACAAGCATATGATATAATTCGTCGTCTTGTTAATAATTTACGTTCATCGGAAACTGATATAAGTTTAGCACTTTTAAATGGATTAAATTCATATCTTGATCATTTTCAAATATCAGTAAATAAAATAATTTTAGAATATTTATAGATGCCGAAAAAAAAACAAAACAAAACAACAACTATTTATTCTTATTTTGATTTAGAATGAATCATCAACGATTGTTGATGAAACAAATCAACAAATGAAATTAACAACAGTTTCAAAAAGTTTTGAAGAAACAATTTTATGTTTAGCTAAATCAATGCGAATGCAAGATGAAAATGCAAAAGAAATTTTATCTAATCGAGCATTACTTGTTTGTTGTTTAAGTTCAAATCTTCTATTAACTGATGAAAAACTTTGGCTTAAATTTCTTTATCTTATATATGATAAACAACAGAAAGAAATAGAAGATTATTTTCAAAATAATGCTAATGCTCTTGTTGAAATTTGTACAACATATCAAAGATTAACAAAAGTAATAATAGTATTTTTTTTTTATCATTGTTTGCATATAATATGTTATTTCAATGGGAGACTTAGCAATGTAATAATATCTGAGATGACACATTCATCTACCAATTTTTTACAGCTTCGTAGTAACTGGAGGCAGCAGTTGGATTTCGAAACATCATATACCTTTTTCTTGGAAAAAAAATGAAGTCCAAATAAGGACACAATGTCATTGAAAGATGAACTGGATTTGGAAAATCCAGAGGAGAGAGACCGCCTGGTAACAAGTCATCCGTTGTAGAAGGAGTCGGATGCATGGTGAATTTCGTTTTTCTAGCTTATCAATTGCTATTTTCTGTCGAATTTTCAGTTTCCTCTGTCTCAAGAAAATATCAACAATCGTGACTGATATATTGGATTTTTCGAATCAAAACTGATCTCTTTCGGCGACATCAGAAAAACTGATTTTTGAATTTCGACTATAAGTTGCGCATCATGACAGACTTTGACAAGAATAGTTTACGGTAAGATAGCCGTATCTTAAGTACAATAGGAAGAATGACAAGATTTGAAACTTTTACAAGAAACTATTTTCATTAAGGTCTATTTCTGTGCAATGTTATAAATCAAAATTCGAAAATCATTTTTCTTGTTACTTCTAAGGGACTCTAGTACCGAGTTAAAAAAGACACAATAATGGTGTAGTATATCTCAGCATCAAAAGCTAAGCATTTGACTTCTTTTCACGTTATTTATAGTACATTAGCATCTAATGGATCCTTAGCTGTAGTGAATCATGAGAGAATTGGTTTTCGAATTAAAATGGTTGGTTTTGTTCATGTGTAAAATTAATTATATGAGCAATTTAGAAATCCTTTTGTTACAAATATGATAAGGAGTTTCGAATTAACGTGTGAATTTAATCTATGAAGATTTTTTTTTTTTCATATTTTTTCAATTTGTATTTTGTTTTTCTATTTTATTAGGATCAAATATCAGCTATAGGTCTTCTATGTTCAACAAAACCAAATCTTTTCTTAAAACGTTTTCTTCAAATTGCTTATCAACGTCTTGAAGTTGATAGTTATTTATTAGTAGATCAACGATCTTATGACATAATGAAAACACCGGCAGGTCAATTATATGATAAAAGTGTTATGGAAACGTAAGTATAAAAATCATATTCTATATTAATCAAAAAGAAAACATAATTTATTATCTAGTATTTTAAAACATGAAGTAAAAGAAACGGGAAATATTAAAAGAGAAAGTAAAAATTATTCCTATAAAGAACAAATGGCAGCAAGAGAATTAGAAAAAGAATTAGCTGCTAAACAAAATAAAAGTACTCAACCACAATTAACAAAAAAACAACAAGAAATGCTTCAACAACAACTTGATCAAGAACAAACAATACGTGATAATGTTAAAAAGGTAAAATTTTAAAACAAATCGTTTCGTTTTTTCTACCCGGTTCAATAATGTTCACTAGAAAACAGAATGATCTTAGCAATAGAAATGCAATGGCTAGGTTTTTCTAGTTACAAGCAAAGTCAGCCATTGAATTTCTGCTTTCAAGTTTCTACTATTTTTTTCAGTTGAGAACAGCTCGTATTTCTTTAATTGGATAACTTAATTTTTTTTTGATTTTTATTAGATTGATGAAAATGCAAAGAATGTTTTTGATATTTTAATAAATATTGTTAAAACTACTCAAGAACAATTTATACCTTATCTTGGTGAACTTGTTTCTTATATTTGGCCAACATTAAAATCACCAGTAGCATTTAATTATGCTAAAGAATTATATATTACTCTTGTACCAATTGTATTTATGAATGATAAAGATACATTTGGTAGGACATAAATAAATTATATCTTTATTGAAATAATATTTGTTTATTTATTTTTAAAGGTTATGCTATTGCATATTTGGCTATTCGACTTAATTGTGATCCATCGACTATTAAACAACAAATAGAAAAACGTTGGTTTCAAGAAGATTTATCTTCAGCTGTTGAACGTTTACTTCAACGTTTATATGAAAATACTCAACAAGCTAAAACACTTAATCAATTATCTATTGCAAGACTTGATTATTGTTTACCTTTATTTAAAGTATGTTTTATAATTTAAAATATTCATTTGATGGAATATTTTATTTTGTAGAATATTGTTAGTCATCCAAAATGTACGAATGAATGGACAACATCAGTATTGAATATTTGTCGAGAATATTTTTCATCAGTGTCAACATCTGATCCTGATGTAAGATATATATTTATTCTATTTATAAAAGAAAATATTCTTTATAGAGTAAGCTTTGATGTTTGTTTAATAGTAGAAATAGTCAATAGAACCTATCGAGCCCAAAATTTTTCGATCGACTATGATCTGAGACTCATCCGACAGGCTCTAGTAATCAGTTATGGGATACTAAAAAATTTATAAATGTGATCTTTTTCGTTAGACAAAGCCTATTGTATCAAAAATAACAATTTGTTATAAGGCTTTTCTAAATCGAGAAATACAAATTAATAGTTAGTTTGTCAACAAAGATCAAATTAACAAATTTTCCATTACTGAATAAATGACTACTTTTAATACAAAAATAAATGATTTTGATATTGTTATATTCCTATTAGTCTAATATACATGCATCAAAACTAAAGAATAGCTGATGATCATTTCAAAATTTTTAGTTTTTATATTATCTTTTTGTGCATGAACAGAGATAAAGTTTAAGATGTTGAAAATCTATGTAAAGTGATCACATTTCAACAGTCTTGTTATTCCTTTTTTTTCGGCATGGTTAGATAGAACTCGACGAGTTGCATACCAAAAAAAAACAGATAACATCACATATATTTGTAAAATCATTTTTGAATATCTGTGACATTAGTTTTTCTTAGGTAACTCATCGAGTTGTATCCAAGCTACTTAAATTTTGAACTATGACCCAGAGCTGGGCAAGTACAGGTTGTCTCAAGTACGAGTACGTACTCGTACTTGTCCAGCTCTGCTGTAGCCATAATGAATACTTTGAAATTCAAATATCTCGATCGGTGCATGTTATGAACAATTCATATTTTAAAATGTATAGTTCATTCGACAATGAGCGTATTCTGATTTGACCTAAGTACGATCAATCTCCTTAAATTCTAGTCCATGACCTTCATTTGCTAGTTTAGTTTGTAATAAAATCTCTAAGATCTTTATTCGAAAATAGATTTTATCTCTAAAAAAAAATCTGTATTCTAGAATCATCCATCATTATTACCACGTCGTGATCTTATTCGTTTATTTCTTGATATAAATGCTGTATCAAAATCTGTTCAAGTTCAAGTAAGTTTATTTCTTATGAAAGAAATTAAATATTAAATTTAAATTTAGAATGATGCATCACAAATGCTTGAAAGATTATGTGAATTATGTTGTACATATGAAAGTGATGATGATATTCAAGTTTTACTTGAAAGTCTTCAATCATCTATTCCAAGTGTACGAGAAAGTTGTATACTTGTAAGTTAATATTAATTTAATTTAATTTAATTTAATATTTAAAATCTATTGAAATTTAAATAGTCATTAAAAAAATTAGTTAATCAATTACATACATCACATTCAACACTTGAAGCTGATATTGCACGTCGTTTATTAATTGCTTGTGAAGATCCTGAAGAACGTGTGAAAAATATTGCTTTAGAGTATAAAATTGGATTTTTTTTTTTTTTGAATCAAAAAATTATTTTAATATAGATTATGGCCTCAAACAAAATTATCAGTTAAATCTGAAAATGTTAAAGATTTTCTTAAAGATATTGTTCATGAAGAATATTTTGTTCGTGAACCAGCTACACATGCATTACCAAAATTATTAGAAACATCTTATCCTCAATTAGTTCCATTTATTCTTAGTGATCTTTTTGATATTTATACAAAAAATAATAAGGTTAGTTTTAATGATTTATACATATATATATTTGAAATAATAAATATTTATGATTTTAATAAAGCTTCCACCACCAATAGTTGATCAATTTGGACGACAAATTCAAGCACAACCAATTGATAGATGGGAACCACGTGCTGGTGTTGCTGCTTGTCTTTTTCATATGGCATCACTTGTTGGTAATAATATTAAAGATTTATTTAAATTTTATGTTCCAACAGCATTAAACGATCGAAATATTGATGTTCGTAGTGAAATGCTTCGAGCAGCAACAACAACAATTGATATTCACGGACGAGTATGTATTAGTTCTTTTTTTGATTGATTATGTTTTTTTTTTAAATGAAACATAATCTAAAAGAAGTGCTCAAGTTTAAGAAAAGAAATTCGAGCATCTACAAAACATGACATATATCTTAGTAATGTCTTTCTCTATCACAGTTTTTTGAGTATATTTCAAATTTGAAATGACACATCTTTCTTTTGTGTTAATCATGAGAAACGCCAAAAAACAAAATAAGTTGAATTAATAAATTGTCTGAAAGCAGTAAAAGATTATTTTGTGCAAACGACAATAAGAACTTTTAACTACTTCCGATAGTGCTCATATTAGAAGAATTTTATTATACTTACCTTTGAATCTGTTTTTAAACTTTTTATAACATATGATGAATAACATCGTTTTATTTTAATTTAAGGATAATTTAACAATGTTATTACAAATTATGGAAGATTTTCTTAAAGAAGCTCCTAAAACAGCTAATAATGATTCTGTTCGTCAAAATGTTGTTATTCTTATGGGTAAATTAGCTAAAGATATGGATAAAGATAGTACAAAAGTAAAAAATATTCTTGGACAACTTATATCAACATTAAATACACCATCACAACAAGTAAATTAAATAGAAACAAAAAGAAATCAAACATTTTAAAATATTTTTTTTTTTATTTAGGTTCAAGCTGCTGTTGCTGATTGTCTTCCACCATTAGTACCAGCAATTAAAGATGAAGCTGGAGTTTATGTTCAACAATTACTTAATGTTTTACTTCAATCAGAAGATTATGCTGAGAAAAAAGGTTTGATTTAAAATACAAAAATGAAAGAAAATAAAAATTTTTCGGATATTTGTTTTTTTTTTTTTATTTAAGGAGCTGCTTATGGTTTAGCTGGTTTTATTAAAGGTTTAGGTATTCTTGCTGTTAAACAATATAATGTTCTTAATGAATTAACTGATGCTATTCAAGATAAAACAAATGCTAAACGACGAGAAGGTTTTATATTTGAAATAAAAAAAATAATAATTGAATTTTTCTAAATGAATTTTTATTTATTAATTAGGTGCACTTTTTGGTTTGGAAATGTTAACATCAATGTTAGGTCGACTTTTTGAAGTATATATTGTTAATATATTACCTCATTTACTCTTATGTTTTGGTGATAATGATGTTAAAGTTCGTGAAGCTGCTGAAGATTGTGCAAGAGCTATTATGAGCAAATTAACAAGTCATGGAGTTAAAATTGTTTTACCAGGACTTTTGAAAGGTTTAGAATCAGATTTATGGAGAACAAAATGTGGAGCAGTTGAATTACTTGGTAAGAATTATGAATTTTTTTTTTTTTGTAAAGTTTTGTTTTACGATTATGAATATGAGAAATATATTGAAATTTTTATAAAATAGTTTTACAGATTAATATATATTTTGTTAAAATTTGTTTTCTTTTTTCGATTTATCTAGATTATAGAACATATCAAACCGTCTATAAAATAATCACTTTTTGTTTTAAATTTTTTGTTTTTGGGAGGAAATATAAATATACAATAGATATTAATATTTCAATGTGAAAATTTTCAAAATGATATTATTTTACCTAAAGTTCATTTTTAGAACATAGAAGTGACTATTATCTCTTGAATAACTTCATATACTTTATAACTTGAGCAGATTTAAAACGATTTTGATAACATGTTTGTTAGTGTAGACAGTCGGTATATAAAACCTAAATAAGAGTTTCTCATACTCATACTCGGAACCGATATAGTCAATCACCTACAATCAAATATTGTCTTTTCAAAAAAAAGCAGTCGATCCCTTGAAACTGTTTCCTAGTTCATTTTCATTGATAGCAGGGACTCAATCCAAGATGATTTCTACCTCCACATGTTACATAGGCCTTGATGAATCATAAGCACTTCAGATGAGGCTCATACGCTTCGATAACAGGTTTTTTTAAAATTTATACACTGCTACAGTTAACTTCAAAAGTATTGAATGTAATTATACAGGTAAAACTCATCAATCTTTAAGCTATTATCCTTTGGAACTACAAACATTGGCATACTCCAACGATTACGATCAATGTGAAAATTATAGTTAAATCTTAAGCTATTTCATTATGATAATTTTTTTTTTCACCTACAGAAGCGCACCAACAGAAAAGTCATTTTCTACGCAATAATAAATTGAAGATTCAGACAAGAGGATACTGGTCCCAAAAATTTTTTATTGAGAACAATACCTTTTATGGTTGTACAAGGCTTATGTTGAATTCGAACAATTTGAACCCGATGGACTTTAGTCAAATATCATATTGCCATGACTCATATATTCTAAATAGATATCAGCTAGACTGTTTCTTTCATGTATAGCGCAGACTTCATTCAGAGTATTCATTGTTCATCAGATTCTGATTGATCCACATAGTTCTGTTTAAAAATAGTATTGTGATAACATAGAATATTCGCTTGTTAATACGATTAAATGTTATGAAAAAAATCGTTCCGTCTATTTTCTTATGATGATATCTATAGTAAACGTAAATCAATTTTCTTTTGATATCATTATGAAATTTTTAGGTGCTATGGCACATTGTGCTCCAAAACAATTATCAACATGTTTACCAAGTATTGTTCCAAAATTAATTGAAGTACTTACTGATTCTCATCAACGTGTACAAAAAAGTGGTACACAAGCATTAAAACAAATAGGTTCTGTAATAAAAAATCCTGAAATTCAAGGTAAATATTTTTGTTTCATTTTTTGACATACATATATATATACCAATTCTATTATTGTATTCATATAGCAATTGTACCTGTCTTACTTGATGCATTACAAGAACCAACTAAAAAAACTCAAGCATCACTTCATACATTAATTCAAACACGTTTTGTTCATTTTATTGATGCTCCATCTCTTGCATTAATTATTCCTGTTATTGAACGTGCTTTTCAAAATCGTTCAACAGAAACAAGAAAAATGGCTGCACAAATTATTGGAAATATTTATTCATTAACTGATTCAAAAGTAAATACAAAACATAAATCTGTTTTTTTTTTCTTTTTTTTAAAGAAAAAAAGAATTTCTTTTCGATTTTCTAGGATCTTGCTCCATATTTACCAAATATTCTTCCAGGTTTAAAAACATCTTTACTTGATCCTGTCCCTGAAGTTCGTGCTGTATCAGCACATGCACTTGGTTCAATGGTTCGTGCTATGGGTGAAGAAGCATTTCAAGAAATTGTTCCATGGCTCATGGAACATCTTGTACTTGAATCAAGTCCAGTTGATCGTTCAGGTGCTGCACAAGGTTTAAGTGAAGTTATATTTGGTCTTGGTGCTGATCGTCTTGAAAAATCTATGAAAGAAATTATTGAACGTTCACAACAAATTGATTTAGCTGCACATGTTCGTGATGGTTATATGATGATGTTTATTTATTTACCAATTAGTTTTGGAGAAAAATTTATTCCTTATGTTGGAAGAATAATTCCACCGATTCTCAAAGTAAAATGAAAAGCAGAAGAAAAAAAACAAGCACATCTTATTAATATTGAAAATTTTCATTTCTTTAGGGTTTAGCTGATGAAACAGAATTTGTTCGTGATACAGCACTTAAAGCTGGTCAACGTATTGTTAATAGTTATGCTGAAACAGCTATATCATTATTTGTACCTGAACTTGAACAAGGTCTTTTTGATGATAATTGGCGTATACGTTATAGTTCTGTTTTATTACTTGGAGAATTATTATTTAAAGTATCTGGTGTAACTGGAAAAGCAACAACTGAAAGTGTTGATGAAGATGATAATTTTGGTACGGAACATGGTTTACAATCAATAACACATGCATTAGGACGAGATCGTCGTGATAGAGTTCTTTCAGGTAGAAATGACTAAAATAATTTTTTTTGTTGTTGTTTTAGGATAATTATTTATATTTAAATAGGTTTATATATGGGTCGATCGGATATTGCATTGACAGTACGACAATCAGCTTTACATGTATGGAAAACAATTATATCAAATACGCCACGTACATTAAGAGAAATTTTACAAACATTATTTACACTTTTATTGGGTTGTTTGGCAAGTTCAAATTTTGATAAACGACAAGTATGTGAATATTTAATTAGATTTAGGTTTTTAGAAAAATATATATATTTTTTTTTCTTGTAATTTTTAATTAGATTGCTGCAAGAACATTGGGTGATTTAGTTCGAAAATTAGGTGAACGTGTTTTACCTGAAATAATTCCAATTCTTGAAAAAGGTCTCGATTCACCACATAGTGATCAACGACAAGGTGTTTGTATTGGACTTAGTGAAATTATGGCAGCATGCAGTCGAGATTATGTAAGAAATAATTATGATTGTATCTTGTGTAGTCTTCTATTTATCTATGAGTATTCATCGACTTGGCTTTGTTTTTTTTCGAAAAATTCAAATCGCCTTATTGATCTCAGAATATCCAACCATTTGAAAAACGTGTATTTTTCAATATTTTGACAATTAAATTGGGATAACAGTTAACTTCTCAGATATTCACTTCTGATTTTAATGATTTTTTGCTTATACATACTGCATAGTGTTCCGATAAAAACTCAAGGAGTGAACAATAGAGATTTGCATTTTGAAGTCTTCTGAACTTGTCTAAGGTCTTTATTAGTTGTTGGAGATCTCATGAAATCCTGAAGTTCATATTTCTACATTCGTCAAGTTCTAAAGAGATTTGAGTTCCTATGGTGATTTAGTTAAGCAATCGTAATTTCAATATATCTATTTTCTAGAGGATTCAGCTTCTCCGAAAACTCATATTTTAAAATTTTAGTCTGACACTTTGCATATATAGAAAAGTCAAGTAGATCAGATTCCTTACGAAAATTCACATTTTTCAAACAAAATCTCTTTGAGATCGAACTAGTTTATATTCTTTTGGGATCGAGTTGAACCTATTCTATCCCTGGTTGAAAACTAATTATTGATGCCGACAACGAATTTAAACTCAGCACACACTATTATCTTGAAATATTTTTCTTTCATTTTCGTATAATGATCGATAGAAGAGTTTATACAATATAATAATACTGATGTTTCAGGTAGTGAAATTACAGTACATTTAATAAATAACTACCTAAACGAGCAAATGTTCGCATGAAACTCTTGGTTTCTCACAAATAAATATAATTAAATAGTTAACTTCTATAGATTTATAACGAAATGATTTTATTTTTTCATTGCTTTAGATCATTGCATTTTCAAATACAATTATTCCAACAGTACGACGTGCTTTACTTGATCCATTAGTTGAAGTTCGTCAATCAGCTGCTAAAACATTCGAAAATCTTCATTCAAGTATTGGTACACAAGCATTAGATGATATTTTACCATATTTATTAAATGTTATGCAAAAGGATATAATACCAACAACAACAACAACAACAACAGAAAATGGAGCAAATAATCAACAAGAAGATGAAGAACAAGAACAAGAAGAAACTGAACGTGATTTTGCTCTTGATGCATTACAACGTATAATGCAATTAAAATCTCGTGTTGTTTTACCATATCTTGTTCCACATCTTATTCAATCACCAGTTGATATAAAAGCATTAGCAAGTTTAACATTAGTTGCTGGTGATGCATTAGCAAGACATTTAAGTCGAATTATTCAAGCTGTTATAACACATATTGCTGAAGAAAAAGATCCACAAGCTAAACAACAACATATGTATTATGCTGAACAATTATTAGCAGCTGTATGTTGAAAAAAAAAACAATTGTTTTTTTACTTTTTTTCATTTATAATTATTTATCTTCGTAGATTAGTGATCCTGATGGTATACAAGTTGTAATACGTGAAATACAAGACTTTTCACGTTCATCAAAAGTTAATATTCGTTTAGTAACAATTAATTTATTATTATCATTTTGTAAACAATCCAAAGGTACATATCAAGAATATATTGATGATCTTATTCGTATTGGTATTAATTTATTTAATGATGAAAATGAACAAATACTTAATACAGCATGGGATTGTGTTGATGCTATTATTAAAGTAAGTTAAAAAAAATAACTCTTGTTTTTTTTTTGCTTTTGGTTTATAAGAAAGAATGTATATAGGATATGGATCAACTTGAATTACAAAAACGTTTACCAGTTGTTCGACAAGCATTACGTATTGCACAATCAAATAGTCGAGAACGTGGTCGACTTGTTGGTTTATGTATACCGAAAAAGGTTTTATTTCAAATCAAAAATTTGTTGTTTGTTGAAAGTTACTGTTGTTTTTTTTTTTTTTTTTTGTTAATAGGGTATTGGATGCATACTACCCATATATAAAGAATGTATTCTTAATGGTCCTCCAGAATTACGTGAATCTGGTTCAAATGGTTTAAATGAAGCAATTAATCTTTCAGAGTAATAAAAAGTTGATTTATTTTGTATTAATATTAATCGTGTTTTTTTTTTGTTTTCTTATAGTGCTGAAGCTCTTAAATCATCAATTATGAATGTAACAGGCCCATTAATTCGTGTATTAGGTGAACGATTTAGTACTGATATTAAAGTAGCTATTCTTGAAACATTAAGTACATTTATGGGAAAAGTAAGTTAAACTTCTTTTAGAAATAGATATTTACGGAAATAAGAAAAACAAAGTAACAGAACTGTTAGATTTTTCGCTTATATATCTAAATGATATTATATAGTATTAAATGTAAGATTAAAACTAAAACATCTTATATGAGATGATTTCCATCATTGCAGAATGAAATTATAATCAAAAGTGAATCCCGATCAATTCTATAAATAATACTTAATTGTATTTAACCAAGTCATTACCATCTCAGTTGGATGTGGATGACGGTTAGAGTCTTCACTTTACCTCCATCTACTCCCTTTTGTTTTGCTAATGATGATGAAATCTATTATCTATAATAGATCAAATTGTTTTCCAATTTTTTCTTTGTGCTACTTTGTGAGTATGTTTGAATTATAAGTCATTATATTAATTATCATTATTAATAAAATCATTTTTTTTTGTGATAAAAATAATTATACTGTGTTTAAACGTTCCTTCTTCTCTCAAAACTTGATATTGAGCCAGAAATATTCCACTCGCATGACATTCTTGGCATATGTTGGAGCTGTGGCGGAAAAGCTATGATAAAATGTTGAGCCCTATGCCATGACGTTTGAGGAAGAAATTCAACAAAGAAGAATCAAAAATAGCTCTTTTGGCAATTCAAAATTCTCGTTAAGTCTTCATTATATACACTTAATTTTTTTTAATGAACACACAACGATGCAAGGCATAACATTATCTTTTTGTTTAAATTCCTAATGTTTAAGGACAAAACAAGCATGCAAAGTTAAATGTCTCAAAAGTATCTCAAAACATGAGGCCCTAATAATAAAAATACTCTGTTCTATAATACTAATAAAGCTTAATTGAAAAATAGAGACTTTCTCGTGTCCTACAGCTTGACAAGCTCTTTTATAAACAAAAAAAGCCTTCGAGAGTTTTCAAATGCAGGATAAAAAAAAATGAGATGTCAAGAAAAAAAATTTGTCATTTATGAAAGATTAGATCATGGTCTATCTTTACATGCATATAGGTTAATTTTGATCATTCTCATGAGAAATGACTTTTTTTTGGGGAGGGGGGGGGGGGGGGCGGCAGTGTGAACAGCCAGGTAACAAAATCGATATTTGAGATTTGAACATATATCAAAGCTGACATTGAATCTACTATGGTGCTGTATTTAAGTGAATCCTGAATGTTAGTTTAAGATGAGTGTCTGATAAGAAGCAGGTATCACAAAGTACTTAAAATAGGAAAAATATTATGAATAGGACCATATAAGTAAAATACATGTTTTTAAATAAGAATCTGACAATATTCATTAGGTATTAAATAATTATACAGTGTTATATGTTAAAAAAATTACCAATGGTCAATAATGCAATTATTTTCTCGGATTTTTCTAGAATTTTAATTCAAGTTTTAGTTTGTTCTTTCGTACAGTATGTCATCATCTATTTTCAATGGATGTGCACTTAAATCCTTATTGATATACAATGTCTCAAATGTAACCTTCTATCAAAATTTGTTGGCAATTTTTATACAATGATGACTTATGTTTCTAGTCTATCATATTTCGAATTGATCGATCCTTGGACAAAAATCTTTTCCCCTCTTAAAAAAAACTTTTGTTCGAGTATGTAAAATGATTCGTTTCATATATTTATAATTTGTCTGTTTGTAAAAAATACATTGAGTTACACGATCTTTTTAAGTTTCGTTCGATAGAAAAAATATTAGTGAAAATGAATAATTTTCATAATAAAAGCTAACAAAGGCTTCAACAGATACTATGAATATTGTGAAATTTAGGTTTTAGAACAAAACTTCAAAAAAAGTATAACATTTGAATTAGATAATTTGATCTTTATTATTTGTAGTGTTTAAGAATTCAAATTTTAGAAAGAAGTTATTAATGATAACCTACTTCATGCTCTTTGAGTATAATTATCCTATGGCAAGTTTATACCATACATAGTTAATAACTGTATCAAGTATATGAAAAGAAAATTCTTGTCTCATTTTTTGCAAAAAACTATTATAATATAGCAGCTACGTTTTATGGTACTAATTCGTAGTTTTCGACAGCCGAAAACTTCACTTTTCAGATAACTTTCAAGGATAATTATGAAAAGAGTTATATCACAGAAATAGTTAATGCAGATGCTGATTATGACATTGATATGAGTGAATTCATTTCCTTGTAGAGATGTAGAAATGGCTCATTCATATTGAATGATAAAAAAAACCAGTGTTAATTTGATTTTTTTTCTTGCAGTTTTGTTGTTATTCTATCTGTATAAAGCTGAAAATTTACTTTTGATGAATTTGTTTTTGAAAAATGAGTCAGTTCGAGAAATGATATGTGATCAGATACTTCTAAAGGCAGCTATTTCTTTGATTGAAATCAACTTTTTGATTCTCAGGATTATATTGTAAAATAAAATAATTCGATAAAAATATTATTCATTACAAATGGATCAAAAATGACTCAAAATTATCATGAAAGATTGCTAATTTTACATCTATAAATAGAAAATTTGAATTATATCTTGAAATTGAAGTTGATATAATAAATAAAACGCTCTAAATATATTATAGGTTGGTGTTCAATTAAAACCATTTTTACCTCAACTTCAACCAACACTTCTCAAAGGTCTCAATGATCCAGCACGTCAAGTTCGTGTTAAAGCTGGCAATGCTTTAGGATTGCTAAGTCAAATTCATGTACGAATTGATCCAATATTTATTGAACTTTTAAATGGATTAAAAATGAACGATGATTCATCATTCAAGTAAAATATTTCATTTAAAAATTTTTCTTTTCTTTTTTTAATAATTTTTATTTTTGTTATGTTTATTATAGAGAAACATATTTATTAGCATTGAAAAATTGTTTAACAGCAGTTGCTTCAAAAATATCTGATGATGTAAAAAAACAAACTGAACAATCACTAGTCACTTGTCAATCAAATGAAAGTGATGTTGTTCGACAATTAGCATCGAATTGCAAAGAAATTTTATTATCACCTAATTAGAACTTAGACAAGAAAAAAAACACAAGAAGAAGAAAATATTAACATTAACACCAAGTTTTGTTTTTCCATTGTTTGTTTTTTTTTCTTTTTTAAATATAACCTTGGTGTTTTGTTGAATATGATGAAATAAAAAAAAACCAAAGGGAAGGGTTTTTCAACGTTTAATAATATTTATTAATTCGATAGATAATCAAATGAATATTTATTTTTAACAATAATTAACTTGAAAAAGAAAAAATAACATAAAGTCAGATGTTTGCGTGACTCTAATTTATGATAATTTACAGATTGGTTGAAATAAGAAAAATTATTCATGAGAAAATATTTATTTTACAGTGGAAAATATATGACTACTTATTAGTATATAAAAATAATCTAATTCGATGATGATGACGCATGTTAGAATGTTTAAACTTTAAAGTATTGCTCGGTACATATGTTTCGTACTTGAATGCAAACTCAAATAGCAAACCATTCGAATCGAATGATAATAGAATATACATCACCTTTCAGGATTCTGTAATTATTTTTTTTATAGAGTTGATAAGTCTCAAAAATTAAAGTCAAATATAACCATTAGTTAACTTGATATCATTTTTGTATAACAAGAATATCAATAGTTTTTATTTCGATAGGTTTTTGTTTAGTTTTGCTATATATTGTTTATCAATTTGAAGTGATACTTTGATAAAACCATTCAAATAGTTCTTTTATTGTTTTATTCTATGCATCATAAATTTTACAGAGATTATGACATTATGGTTTATCATTTAGTTATATCTTGTGCAATGAAAATGATACATAACTAAAAGTAATAACATATGCTTTTTTTTCTTACTTCCATTATTCAACAATTGAGAAACCTTTTTTAATGAGTTTTTACGCCTTACTTTTCCATCTGTTAACCTTTAGTTATCAAAATATGCAAAAACATATCAATAATTAAAACATTTCTGATATATTTTTACATAAAATATAAACGTCTAGAAAACAACTATATTAGATCATATGTCACGCATTGCAGTCATCCAATACAGAACAAGAAAAGCAACAAAAAAAATACGTTCTTTTACTATATAAATAGAATCTGTTCGCTCTTTTAGTTTTTTTTTCTTCCGACGTTGATAATGTACACATATCCTTTCACTATTTATCCTTTTTTTTAATAGAGATATACATCTGACTGACAACCAATGAGAGTCATAGGTGTTTTTCTTCGTTTGTATTTGCAGCGTCTTCTTACTGATAATTGCTTGCGAATCTAGGAGAACGTATTAAACTATGATAGAAGCACATAACAAATTCTTATCTAATGCTTATAGAGTACATATTTCACTCTAGGTTCGTATTTATTTGATAAGACGCGGTTTACAATGGCAATGAAAGTAAATCAAAACATGACCTAATATTTCAAAAAAGAAGCTTGAGTTATTTTAGGACACAAATGAATCAAGGAATAAATTCATTCGTAAAATAGTTGGACTGATTTGGATTGTTATTGAAGTCAATCTAGTTGCAGGAAAGTATGTATTTCTATTTTAAAAAAATTATATAACAAATAATTATATTTCTTCGAATAGTATATTTGGATTTGGATCTTTATTCAGTGTATTACCTCAATATGGTATATATGAATCTCGTTGTAAAATAATATCTGAAAAAATTATATCAAATGATACTAAAACTATAACAAAAGATTGTCGAGGACAAATTGATGAATATCAGGTTAAATTAATAATTAATACCATGAAATAAATATGATTAATTTTAGTTTGCTTTTGCATTAGGTATTGGTTTTTATAATTTACCAGCTGTTGTTGTTGGAGTGATTATATATATTTTTGGTCCACGTACTGTTAAAATAATTGCTATGTAAAAAAATACATATATTTGTTAAGAAGTTTTACTAAATATTTCATATATTCTTTAGTATTTTTCATTTAATTAGTTGGTTATCATTAGCATTTCTAGCACCTGGTGATACTTAGTTATTTAAGATTATTTAATATTTTTATTGTTTTAAATTAGGTTATGATTGGCTTATTCTATCACATACAATATTTTCAGCTCTAGCTGGAATTTGTGTTTTACTATCATCATTTGCAATATCAGCGAATTTTACTAAAACACGAGGTTTAGTTACGTAAGTCATTCTAGTTATAATTCGATATATTTTTATTATTTTATTTCTAGAGCATTGATATCTGGTGCTCAAATTGGTGGTTCTGTTTGGTATGCAATTTTTCAAGTAAATTTTCTAATGTTCAATATTGATATTTAAATGTTTTCTTTATTGGCAAAAAAAAAAAGATTTTGATTGATAGAAAATGGATTTCACTATCGACATTAGGATTTATTTGGGCTTCCTTTTCAATCTTGATGTTTGGTAGTGCAATATTTTTTCTTGATTGGCATGTAAAATGTGGTAGTGCATCGAATAAAACAAAATCATCAACAACTGAAGATGGTGAAAATGAAATTTTAATTATTCGTTTTTATAATATGTATTTATTGTTTAGTTACAATAAATACATCAGAAGATTCTTTAGCTCAATATTTGACAAATCCAATTTTTGTTGTTGTAACACTTTTTCTTAGTTGTCTTCTTCTTACTGTAGCATATTTACCTGTAATTTGGTTTCCATGGGTTATGCATTTAACTGGATATAATTTAAATTTAGGTTAGAATCAATTTTTAAAATTAATATTTCGATGTTTTTTTTTTTCATTTTAGCTAATCATTTTACATTCTTGTTTAATATGAGTGCAATATTATGTATATTTATTGCACCAATATGTGGCTTAATTATTGATTATAAAGCCGCTCGAGGTTTGTAGACAAATGTGTTTGTTTTGTTGCAGAATATTGTGAAAGAAAAAAATGAATATTAAGTTTTAAGTCAAAGTTTAACGGCCCTTCAAAAATGACAGGCATAAGCTATTGAAGAAAAATGAATTGAATAAAATTAAAGACATCCGGTTGAGTGTTCTAGAATATTCTACAGTCTTCATCGAAATGGTTGAAATACGTTTGTCAATATTTTTTAAAAGTGCAGTTTTTAATTTTTTTGTAGATAAAAAATTATATTCAAAATATTAAGGATGATATGTAATGATAAATTGATTTATCGTAGTTGTCATATAATCAGCATAAAAAGAGCTTGAATTGATCAAATTAGAACTTTGGATAATAAGTAATATCAGTGTTTGTGGATTGATCGAGATATATAATAGCATCTTAAGAACTATTGCTGTAGATATGATAGATATGTACAACAGATGTATTTACCATTTAATTCAATACTTAGAAAAATAATAAAAAGAATCTTAAATTAATATAAACAAAAAAAAATTATGTTTGAAATGCAGAAATAAATAACAGAAATCTTTACTTTGTTGATCAACTATTTTGGAAAAGGATTATAGTCTATGAGACATTTCTCACTTTAGCTATTCTATATTAGTTTATTAAGACTAAATAACTTATGTAAATTCCACATTTCAGTGACAAAGGACACGAGGCTAACAAACATTATTTATATAAATTTTTGTTCAAGGTTATTCTCAGCGAATACTTAATATTTCCATATTACAAACAATATCTTGGCTAGCAACAATAATACTTTGTATTGTTTGTATGTTTCGATCAATAGCTGCTCCTATAGTTGCTATAGTGATTTTTATTTTTTCACGTACAATGCTCGTTGCTGGTTGTCAAGCTGTTATCACTAGAACGTAAACATAGAATAAAATTTTGTGCACTATAATCTTGATGTGTTTTTTTTTTCTAAAGATTTCCACCTGAATATATCGGTACTCTCCTTGGAGTAATGTGGACAACAGCAGGTATTGTTAGTTTTGTTACATATGGTCTAACACGTCTTGCAACAGATCCAATATATGCTTGGAGAGTAAATATTATCAATTAAAGCTTTGTGCAAAAATATGCATTTTTTACTTGATTTTAGGCATGGTTAGTGATTTTATGTTTGTGTATCGTGATGGTTGGACATGTAATTCAACTTTGGAGTTTATATTTAAAATCGAAAAAAGAAACAAAAAAACAATTACCAACAAATGAAGAAGAGATGAAAACACTTAAATCATCGATTGATCAATAGACTTTTTTTGTATTGTATTTTGATCTCAATGAAATAAAATATTATAAATACCAATATTCAATTTCAAATAGTTACTAGAAGGTCTATCTTATTTTGTTTTGATGTTTACTTGCTATCTTGTGCGGAGAGATACAATGTACTATAGAGAGACGTGAAAAAGGAATGATAAGACAAATTCTTTTAATTCTAATTGAAAAAAATAAAGTCTAGCATTGAATTACTTCGTCATGCATGTTTCATTTCATGAATAAGAATGACGTATGGAATAGAATGTGAGGGAAAAAAAGAACTACGTGATAAAACTATTCTATAATCAAATATAAAGTTGAATCCTTCTTTCATATTGTATTACATTCGAATAAACGAGACAATGTCGAAAAATATATTATTACTATTCATTATTTTTTATTATTGTGTAAGTTTACTAATTATAATATTTATTTTAAAACATTTTATATTATAATAGAATACCGCTTCAGCATCATCATGGTCAATAAGTTTACCATCAACAAATGGCACTCGACATGTTGTAATTATACCTTTTCCATCAGCAATTTCAAGAGAAAAAGTAATTCGAAAATTGTTTCATTAAAATATTCTTGATTTCATATATTTATTTAGTCTGTTCCTCCTTCACCATGTAATGATTGTTTTCATTTTCATACATTTAAAGGAAATCGAATGGTAATTGAACCTTGTGGTGGACCTGATTGTGTTGCAATTATAAAAAGTCGTAATTTACGAGAAATTCAACCAAGTAGAAAATACGATTTTGAACAATGTGGAATGATTAATAAAAAAGATTATTCAATTGTAAATAAAGCATTACAGTTAAAAGTCAGCACAAGTGTTAAAAACACCTTACGTCCTGCTGAATAT